CATATCTAGTACTTTACTGAGGGAAAAACTAGTTTGTATCACTTCGACAATATTCAGGGTCGAATGCTCAAGTGCAGTAGGTGGCCTAACTCATAAAATGTCAATTGAAATTTCGAAATGCGTTTTCATTCAGAAAATTCTAATTAACAAGTGTTGTAAAACTAGTCGGCATGCAACTGAATTCTATAATATTTCAGTTACCTCAGGATGCCGACATTCGAGCAAATTGCTTTCCTGTGCCATGCAAAAATTAGTGTCTGTAATGTTTGACTGTTTATTTAGCATGAATTCTTATCATCGATTTTCACTGCCTCTAAAATTCTAATCATGTTTCATGGAAACCATGCAGAAACATATTCATTTTTTTCTTATTTGGTAGACGATTAAGTCTTATATCAATCTTATACTCGAGAGAGGTGAATAATTTGTTTTTCCGAATAATTTCGAACTCGCTCTACCGTTACACTTGGATTCAGGGTATCAAAACTGCAAACCGTATATTTTCCGTTTACGGAAAAACAAGTCTTTCTCTACAGTAATAAAGGGGTATCATATATGGTACATTACGTTTATCAGTGTATTTGATGCATTTTATTAACTTTACGAGTCAGCTTGGTAAACGCAGAGACGTGACGAACTATTACTTCACATTTAACGCTATTTAAATATCTCACAATTATAAATTATTGAAAAACGAGTTATGCGAATCCTTCAACAATAAATTAAAAAAACGTAATCATCTACCGAATGGGATAAAGAGCGAATATTGTCATGCATACTTTTCATGAAATATAATTCGACATTTAGAGTCATCCTAAAATCATTGAGAAAATTCCATGCCACATAGATAATCATTATTTTTAGAGTGCCGTTGTTCTCAGGTTAGACATCCGAAATACGGCATACTGTTGTAACTGAAATGTTATAGTAGTATGTCGCAGGCTGACCAGTTAAACAATACTGGTTAATTAATTGTTTCGGATTAAAAAAACATCGGAATTTCCCTTGACATTTCATGAGTCCGCCAGCGTGTTGTAATTCAGTTTAACTGACATTGTACACACAAAAAACTTCAGTAAGAATGCCAGCAGTGTCACATGTGCTCAAACGTCAGATAACACAACAAGAACACTAGGGCATTGCACATCACTTTTTTAGCTTAACCGTAAAACGATTTACTCCATTTTCAGTGTTTTTTTCGGGCTGAAATATTTTGGTGAGAGTAAAACCTTCCCTCCCACCACATGTGGCGCACTAAGTCAAATTGATTGTATACTTGGGTGGCCAGACACGTGCGCTAGCAAATTCCTCAGTTGATTAATCAACCTCCTTTGATGACGTCAGTTGCCGCCCACGGGGGTAAAATTCTCAGCATTTGACAGTTATCCCAATGAAACTCTTTTATTTAAATCCAACGGTAGAACGAATGAGTTCCGCTGGTGTCCTTACTTGCTAATGAGAAAACGTTTGTTTATACAGATAACCATTACTCGCAAGGTCAATTTCGATCGAAATGGGTGATTCTGTCGCCTTAATATACCTATACTCGACAGCATATAATTGGACATTCTTGCAATTGTATTCGTATTTTAGTGTGCAGCAAGATGTGTGACATGAATTTCATACAAAATACTCCAACTGGATTTTATATGATTCTATAAAGCAGTCTTTGTCATTTTCTAAAGGGGATTGACTGCCCTGCAGAAGGTCAGCTAGGACAGCAAACCCCAGTTTATTAAGTTAGTTGGTGGTTTTGATCCACAATGTTAGTTTTACGAGCCGCATTGTTAAATGGAGAGGTATAACGAAATATGAACGGCAATTAAACGGTATTTAAATGTCTCGAAATTATAAACATTTTTAAAAATCAATTTATATCCCTTGTTCGAGTATACTATTGGAAGACCACGTAATTATATAACAAATTGGCAAAAGACCGAATATTTTCATGTAACCTTTTCATGCACTTTAATTATAATTTTAGGGACACCGAACATCAAAGAAGAAAGATCATGCTACTTAGGTAGTCATTATTTTACAGAGTGCAGTCTTTGCATGCATACCGAAAGAAATTTGTTCAAGAGCCAACATCATGAGGTAACTGAAAAATTACAGAATTATGTGTCTGGCTGTCTTGATTTACGACCCCAATAAAGTAATTGTTTCGAAACTAAAGAGCAATTCGGAATTTCCGTTAAGCTTCATGAGTAAGCACGCCTAATTTACTTCACTTTGACTGGCATTGTGCAAGCAAAAAACTTCATTAAGGAGCCAATGATTTTGCATGTTCTCAAATGTCAGAGAACACAATAAAAACACATGGGCATTGCCCGTTGCCTTCCAATCTCAACCGTTTAAGAACCTACTGGTGAGCGCTAAATCCCTCCGTCTCCCCACATATTTCGCATTAGGTTCAAAGCAATTGCATACTTGGGTGGCCAAACGGGGGCGCTAGCAAATTCCTTAGTTGATTAATCATACTGTAACTGTGGCAAAGTACATTGATGGAGGCTTTAAGCCAATATCTAGGGCATATCCGAAACACAACGACGGCTTTCCGTGTGAGCTGCGTGTTTTGGAGCTCTGCTTTCTTAGAATGTATGTTTAAACATGTTGCTTTTAACAGCTATGTCGTTAAATTAGGAAGACATACTAATTTCAACCAAGTAAACATATATCCGTTTAAATCTGGCAGTATATTAGTCTGGTTAACGAGTGATTATAAGAATGACAAAATGCGAAAGTAAACTACGTATTATGAAGTAGCAAATTGTTTACGACCTAGATATTTGAGAAGTTCATTTTGGTATCAAGTGGGGCACATAAACTGTTGGTACCATAACAACGCGCACGACATTTGAACATGCTCAAGGCATACTGATTTTTATTAAGTAGATGGTATTGTGACGGCAAAGGTCTGCAGCTGTCAAAAACGCGACAAATTCGATAAATACTGTCAGCTGACAAGTTGGGACGCATCAAACTAGATCAGGCAACAACACCACATCGGTTGAAGTCAAACTTCTCGTAAGACATATAAATCGCATTAGCCGTAATCTGCATAAATTATTGGTTTACTTGCCCATTAACTTGTAGTACATTAGGCACGCTGTAAACCCATGAGCATAACGGATTCAATGCCGGCGTTTAGCGGTGAGATTATGGAGTAATCGTTACACCAGTAATCAGCAGGTGATGGAATTGCAACGATTAACGACTCGAAAGCGAACCACCAAAAATCCTTTTACCAAGTGCATTACTCCATAATGTAGCAGGGGATTAGGCAACAACGCGGCGACGGCATTCTTGACATACGGAAACCCCTTGTGCATGAACTGCTGGTTGTTGTCTCCGGCGATTGACTCGAGCAGAAGCTTGAAACGTCAGACGAATAAAGTAGTCCTTTCAGCGATAGTATCTGCTTCTTTGCTATTTTCCTATTCGTTTAACAGTGAGTATGCAAGACAATTTTTTAGGCAAAGACATGAAAAGGGCATTGATATAACAAATAAACATTGATAATGTTTATGCGGATGACACAAAACACGATGTTAAAGCCTCTGCATATCCGTGCAGGCGAGAACTAGACGAGGAAAAGTAACGATAGCAACATCACTCGTCGATGAGGCTAAAACATGCCGTGTCTGGTGGTTTATGTGAGGACGGCGATATTGAGATTTCCTTGGCTAGCAGGTCATATAATTGCTGAGGGCGTTTTCAAAGCATCTTAGAGCTCTGCTTATTGTTGCGTTTGAGACCACGCTAAAAGAAAAGCAAACAAACCCAACGTTAAACAACGTAAGATATCAGGGAACAAAATGCATATTTTGAAGGGATTAATACAGACGAACAGTGTAGTGCGACAAACTTCATGAAAGCATTGTTATATCCTCACATACACGGACGGCCTACTATCGTGGCTAAAGAAAAGTGGAATGTGGGGATTTTAATCAAACTGCGCGAATTAAGGACAAAGGAGAACATATATATATTAATCTACTAGTAACTCCAGTAAACCACAGATTGAGCAAATATTTGCTTTTTAGTCAGCGAAGAAACGTATCTAGTTCACGTAGAGTGAACGCAGCCATTGCAATCATATAAGTATACGGACCTAATCACATACCGATATTTGCATATATCGACAGCATTCAATTACAAACTTCCTGCAGTAAGTGGACAAGTGTGAACTTTCGTATTTTACGTAAAACGTCAAATATAAGCCTCATGCCTTTACATTTAAAAATATCCTAAGGCTTGTCCGAATTTGTTTTCACTGAGGTATTCATGAATGTTTTACATAAAAGAACCCCGACATATTGTTTAGCGATATAACGAACGTCATTGACCTGTCAATACGGAATCCGATCGAAAATCTGGAGGGGTGTTTTCCAAAATTTGTCAGTCCTTTGGCAGGTTGTAAAATGTAATGACGTATTATAATAAAGCAGTTTAACTAGAGGTTCGCATCAATCTACGGTGATTATCAATTTCATTTTAGCCCTTCTATAGTGAAATGTTTTTGAACAGATTGTAACAAAAATATACTTGATAACCAGAAAGGCAAGCTGCACACTCTCATTCGCGTCAACTGTCTTCTTATGGTGTCTGTTGTCCGCCATATCTCAGCCATTGAACTAAAAGTCACACACGCTTTTGCAGTTGAGTGTATGGAAAGTGTTCGAAGAAAACACATTCAGCATCCCTCACATTTACAAACATTGCTTCGTGAAATTCCATACGAGTCAATAAAGTTTCATATTTAAAAGAAGACGAAAGCACAATCACTGGGACGTTAGATTTAATGGCCTTAGCTTTCCAACTGGAACTGGAGTTCATCATCAGAGACTGCTAGCGTGCACCAACGTGTGAACATTTATATCGTTGTTCCGTGCGGGGGGACTACGTCAGTGGTTTTGCGTGGTTTATGCCGCCTGGTCCGCAAAGGTCCACGGCGTAGTGACGCCCTTTGTACTTCGCGGCGATGTGAGCTGCGCCACATGGCTGCGTGGGCGGACTGCGTGAAAACACGCAGGCAAATCAATGCGTCTGTTGATAGAGTTGGTGTCGGACACCCACGCCTCCAACAGTTCTCGCCCTGTCTTGTTGCCGGCTCACGCCAATATCCGCGTGTGGGCGACGTCGAAATCATGGCCTTCCTCCAGCGTGTGAGTGGCCACTTGAGATAGTGGGCCGCCCGTTCGCTTTCAAGTATTTGCGAGTCGGGACGTCGTCCTGTTTGGCCTGTGTAGTAGCAAGATCAGTTATTGCACGCGATTTGATAGACTACGCCCGAGTGTTTACCTACGTCAAACCGATCACTCATTTTCCTGATCCTGCTACACATGGCCGCCACCGGCTGACGAGCGATACCCACCCCTTACTCTGACGCAATGCGTTCTGTATCCTCGGACACATTCCTTATGTAACTGCAACTGAGCATAATTCGGCCGTCCGAGAGTCCATGGGCGTCCCCTCTGCATATGGTGCCCAAGGCGACATCAGACAACTGGCGGCCCTGTAGTGACTATCGCGCCCTCAACAAGGCGACCGTCCCGGATCGTTATCCCGTCCCTCATCTTCAAGATTTTGCTACAGCTCTTTTCGGCAAATCGGTTTTCTTGAAGATTGACCTTACGCGGTCCTTCCATCAGATTCCTCTCGCTCCTGAGGATGTTCCCAAAACTGCCGTCATTACACCATTCGGCCTGTTTGAATTTATTCGCATGCCATTTGGTCTTCGCAATGCTGCCCAAACATGTCAAAAGGTTCATTGACCGAGTCCTACGTAATCTCCCTTTTATGCACGCCTACATCGATGACCTCTTGGTGGCCAGTCAAAATGCCGAGGAACACAAAGAGCATCTTGCCTAAGTGTTTGACCGCCTCGATCAGTTTGGCGTGGCCATTAACCCTTCGATATGTGTTCTGGGTGTGCCGTCCCTTGATTTTCTTGGTCTCCATGTCGATGCACAATGTTTGCCTCCCCTCTCTTCCAAAGTTGAGGCCATTCGTGACTTTACTCCACCAACCTCCAAGCGTCAGTTGCAACGTTTCCTTGGCTTGGTAAACTTTTATCGCCGGTTCCTGCCGAACTGTGCCGACCTTGTGCTGCCACTCACCAACTTGCTCTCTGGTCCCAAGGGTCCTCTTGAGTTACGTGGTCACACGCTGACTGCTTTTGAGAGAATAAAGACCTTCCTTGCTGATGCTACCTTGCTCACTCATCCTGTTTCAGAGGCCCCATTGTCCCTGATGGTTGATGCTTCGACCGTTGCCGTAGGAGCAGTCCTCCAACAGCATATCAACGACTCGACACGACCGTTGGCATTCTTCTCCAAGAAGCTTTCACCTGCCGAGACGAGATATAGCACGTATGGCCGTGAACTTCTTGCCATTTACCTAGCCCTAAAACATTAACGACTCTTCATTGAGGGTCGTGACTTCACAATTTTCCCAGAACAAAAACCACTAACGTTTGTCGTCCGATCCCATTCTGACAAATATAACCCGAGAAAGATTTCTCATTTGGATTACGTCTCGCAATTCACCGCCGACATCCGCCACATTGATGGCCCGAAGAATGCGGTGGCCGACATGCTGTCCAGACCTTCCCTCTCGGCGTTTCAACTCTCACACGGCATTGATCTTGGGGCTATGGCGGCTGAAAAAGACTTGTTGGATGCCCTGGCGATGAGTCTGTTGACAGTCTTCAATTAGTTAACGTCCCATTGACCACCGGCACTGGCACAATCCTTTGTGACGTGCCGACTCCTTTTCATCGCCCTTATGTGCCTGCCTCGATGTATCGAGCTTTTTTTCAAACTATCCACGGACTCTCCCATCCTGGGATTCGAGCCTCACAGAAGCTCCTCGCGGAAAGGTTCGTATGGCCTGGGTTGAACAAGAATGTGAAAGCTTGGACACGATCATGCCTTTGCTGTCAACGAAACATGGTTCAACGCTACAATAAGTCTCAATCGGGCACGTTCCCCAGCCCCGATGCACGGTTCAACCATGTGCATTTAGATGTCGTAGATAGTTTACCTCCTTCCAATGGCTATATTCACCTTCTCCCCTGCGTTGATTGCTATACCCGTTGGCCGCAGGCGATTCCTTTACCGAATGTGCAAGCTGAAACAATTGTGAAAGCCTTCGTCTGTCGTTGGGTCGCCATATTCGGTGCGCCATCCATGATTACGAGAGATCGAGGCGCGCAGGTTGAGTCCAAACTTTTTCAAACTCTCCTCAACTTCCTTGGCTGCACACGTATTCGGACGAAGGCCTACCACCCAGCTGTCAACGGCATGGTTGAGCGTTTCCACCGCCAGCTGAAAACTGCACTGCGTGCCGCAGAAGATTCCGAAAACTGGTCAGACAATGTATCCGTTGCACTTTTTGGCATTCGTGCGGCACTGAAGTCAGACTTGGACATTAGCGCAGCCGAATAGGTTTTCGGCACTACGCTCCGACTCCCTTGTGGGATGGTCGCCCAACCTCTCGTGGTGCGGAAGAGACCCTCGAAAATTTTGTGCATCCTCTGGGACTATTCATGCGCTCGCTTTCCCCAGTTCCACCTCGGGCTCCATCGACGAGCCTTATGTTGAAAAAGGCTTAGCCAACTGCACCCATGTGTTCGTTCGGTGTGATCGTGTGCGGAAGCCGTTTGAAGCACCATACGAAGGACCGTTCTTTGTGCCTGCACATAACAGCAAGACCTTTCGGATCCTGCGAGGTGACGAAGAGGACGTAGTCAGCATCGACCGGATCAAGGTTGCTGTTGCAGAGGAGTCCCTGGACGTGTCTCAAGGACAAGCATGTGCTCACCCCTTACCTCCTCCCACTCCTTTTCCACTTTCTCCATCTTTCCTTTCGTCCCGTATACTTCATCTTCCGTCTTGTTCGCAGCATCAAACTGCAACCTCTTCCTCCACCCTTAACTTGTCCACAACAACGCCTACTCAGCTGCCTCCAACAGTACCTTCCGCATTTATCACCCGCAGTGGACGTCACGTTCACTTTCCTGATCGTCTAGTTACTCATTTCTTCTAGACCTTTGTATGTCCTTCGGCGTCGTTAACGCCGCCCTCCGGTCTCGGAGTGGGGTACTGTGCTGAAGTACCTGACCACTTGACCTTTGACAATCTTGTCACGTTTGTTTTACTGTAGCATTTGTTTTACCGTGACAAGGACTCCGCCGCTTGTAAGCTTCTCGCCGCTTGCATGCTCTCTGGTCAGGTCGTTGATCATTTTGAATATTAACTTTATTCACTTACTGGCCTTCATTACCTCTCTCCGTTTATCAGGTTAGTAAGCCGTAGTTCGTTTGTTCGCGGGCACGACATAACTTACGTCACACAATTGTTCCTTCAGATGATATTATTTGGGTTGGATATTTAATGAGCTTTTTGTCCACATAAAGACTGCAACTTTGACATTAAAAACATTAAGCATTTAGACTGTAGCCATTGAGCCGTTTACCGGATCTGGTGAAGTTACGGATGAAAAAACTATGTAGGAGAAACTGGGAGATTAATCCGTACGCGAATTGCCGAGCACGCAGCAGCAGTGAGGCGGGGAGACGCTAGCTCTCAAATGGCGGAACACTTGACGGGACCCGGATATATTTTCGAAATGCAAGTGACCGAAATCCTCGCAAAGGGTTCCAACCACGTGAACCGCGAGCTGCTCAAGTCATGGTTCTCAGACCAGCAATCCATCAACAAGCACAATGACCTCCCAGTACCATATTTAGTGCTGAGGCTTTCCCTTGGCAGGGGAATCAGTCACGTGGGCAGGGCGGAGGCGAGCAACTATCCCAGTGGCAGTGAGCCAATTTTCCGAGCAATCGTCACAACATAATTCGGACGGATGTCGAAATCAGGGCGATTAACGATTCGTACTCGGACAGACAAGCCACCACCGCATCAATTACGACCCCAGCGGTGATTGCGACATCTGTTAATTACAGTGCGCATACGGTCCCACGACAGCCACGTGCTATAAATACTGCACTCCTTGTGCCACCATCACCTTTATCTGAGAATGTCTTTAATGATGGATTCGAGTGAGAATCCAAAAGGTCAGGCCCATAAATTTCTTGTTCCAGTGATCGCATCTTCATCTTCTGAACTACTACCTGGAACTCGCCTATTCGCTTCTATCAGGAAATTTTTTTTCTATAACCGTCAAAATATTACGCAATAGATGTGGTGCATGCAATAAAAAAGGGTACAATCCTAAAAAATTTAAGTAGAAACTGAGAGTCCGCCTATTATAATGTAATAACAATTTAACAAAGAACAACAATGAAAGCGCTTATATCCCTAAGCAGTAATGACAAACTGACGCTACAGACGCATACAAGAAACTACGGAATTGCAAACCGTATTCGTCGCTGTGCATCTGCAAATGTCTGAACACAGTTTATTTTAACAGTCTGGAGTGAGGAAACAATCTGAAATACTGAAAACGCATGTATTCACGTTAGATGGTAGTTGGTGGCCCTCCTGGTGCGGAAAACTCCCAGTTACCTGTCTTAAAGGACAGGTGGTATTAGAGGCTATATGGGTATTGCAAATGAGTGGAGGCGTAAATGGCGCTTGTATTGTATGTCTGGAATTGACGCGTCTGACAAAATGAAAGCCTAATTTAAATAAGGTGAAAACTGCAGGAAGGGTTTGAAAATGAGCATGGTTAAATACAACGGTATGCGTAATAAATGCATTTTTGCCCCAGCTTCGAAATAATAGCTACTGAAGGTGAACAACCAATAGGAAGAAGGCAGTGCGTCTGAAGGTCATTACGCGGTATGTGCGATAGAACTCTAACCGACAGACTGGACAAGAGAACACGAGAATCAAGCAGCGGCACGCAAGACGGCATAACGCAAGCGGTTTAAGACTTTAATACCAAGAATATGTTTGGGCGGAAAAGAAAATCCGCAAATAATAGTTTATTGCCATCGTGGCCACATTTGGGATATAATCTCTTACAGTTAGTGTGTGCTATTCGTAAAGCCGTATTATGCAATGTAAAGAGGAATTAGCACTGTGTGTATAAAGTTCCATTTCGTTGTGCTTGCAGAGCGCAGTCTCTTAGAAGGCGAAGGAAAGCAGGACCGTAACTCGATAAGCCGACAGATTATTCGCGGATCCTGGAAATAATCCAGTCGCCCTACGTAGTGCAGTTTCTGCAAAAGAAAGGACAACTGACCTGCAGGGTCTTATTTAAATGCAGCAAGGTCATACCATTACAAAAACTGCGACAGCACACGGATGGTTATGCCTTCAAATAATATCTGTGTATTGTGGTTATCAGACTTAAGATCCGTCTATTGTGGTGATAGGAGAGCACTAAGAGTGAACTCAGTGTTTGATGGGACGCACCTGTCACTGCCTAAAACAATGAAAACCTGCATTGTTTTCAGTGAAGGCATTGGAGTGATCAGATTTGCAACCGCAGTTGGCATAATTAACAAAACCGCAGTGAAGTGGTACGGTGTGTGGTGAGACGTATGCACAAAGGCCCTCCTACAAGAGGTCAGCCAACTTGGTGGATCCTATGTCTAAGTTCGAGTCGATGATTTCGCGGCGTAAGTACAATGTTGGGCGACTTAAAAATCAGAATTGGATTATAGATATGTGAACAGTGTATTATTAGTCCATTCTAGGTATATATGATTCGTCTAAAAAGAAATCACTTTTCGAGCAGGTCAGTGATCGAAGCTGACCGTCGTTAAGGGCTGTCATAAAGTAACAGATTGCGCCGGGGAGTGTGATAGTTACTAATCAATGGAAGGGCTATACGCGTTTGGTGGATAAAGGATATCGTCATTTAACGGTCAATCATTCGGTAAATGTTGTGGAACGTTGTTAGTAAGAAGCACGCGAACGCAAATGAAGTCTACTGGAGTAAGCAGAAAAAAAATTGCGTTAGCATGGTCCGATCCGTAGAAGGAACATCTGGGCCCATGTAGACGAAGCCCAGTACCTCCTCTAGTATGGCCTGAAGGCAGGCAATTTGCCTCAGGCATGGGAATTGTTCTTGAGGCATATTGCGGACGCCTATCCGGTTGGTGACCGTACTTGTTCAGCTGATGATGAAGCGCAGCTGACTCAGAGGTAAGCATTGGTACTGTTGACATAGCCCATAATGTTAGGTAAATACAGGCGCATTGATTGCCGCTGCAGCGCAGTGCCTAAAGGATGGACAAACCCGAAGGAAACCCGTAGTCGAGTGAAAACATTGAAAGCCAATAGAAATGTCAGTCTTTTTTTTCATTTCAATAGAGAAATCATGTCTATTTTAACTGCTGGCCTCCTTTCCTATGCTAAGTAGGTAGTCCACCAACCTGGCTGAGACCGGAAAAACCGATTCCGTCCCAGTGCGGAACTGGAAGAAGGGGTAGACTGGATAGGAGAAACCGCAAGCTACCCCCGCAAATGATCGCTAGCGGAAAAACTGCAGCCGGTCCTGATCGCAAGGACGGAAAGTAAACACTCCGGGTCTGACTGGCGTATGAGACGACTTGCTGCTGTAGTCTGAACCCAAGAGTTAGTAAGTGCGCGATGTGCTAGGTTAAGTGCGCCCAGTTCAAACCCAACAGTGTCGAAGCGTGGGGGGAGGGAGGTCGTAGTGCCTTAAACTTGAAGTGCAGGAAAGGACCGTTAACTAGCCACGGCGGTGTTAGCAAGGCGTTCCGGTTTTCACCCAAAACCCTGAGACCAAGTACAACCCCGCTGTTCGTAAACACGAGGGAGGTGGAGGGCAACACTCTGTCAATACGACTGATGCAGTGGATGGAATAGCGGTAGACACCCTATCTGAGCACCGGTTGTCCTTTCGTACACGATCACGCCGGACTCTGCAGGAGGTCCGAAGTAAAAAGACCCCCGGACGCAGGCAAACCGACAAAAGTTACACCCGCACCAATCCGCCTAGGATGGTAATGAGAAACATGATGAATCCTAATCCACCTAGGATAAATTTTTCGCCTTTTACTAACGATTTACGTGTTGGGGGTGCAATGCAATGAATCTATATATAGGCATTTTTGAAGCGCGTCGTTCTCTGGGCGGTTAAAGTTAACAAGAAAGTCACCCTGACAGGGCTTTTGCGCGTGCACTCCCATACATAATGAGAATGTTATCACAGCTATTTAGATAGAGCCAGTAGGTATAATTAAAAAATCCGTGAGCAGGGCTACGAACTACCACCCTGCCGGAAACCGGGCTGAAATTGCAGACCCGTCTACGTGAGCACAAATTGGCAACTCGGAGACTGAACTCAATCTCACAGATTGCGGCTTACATCGGGGAAACTGGCCACAGTTTTGATTTCCAAGGATCAGCCCTCTTAGGCAGGAGCAGCCCAAGCAAATAACGTCTCACACTTGAGGTTTGGTACTCAGATGCCAACTCCATGAACAGGCATCTAGAACTTCCTCCGGCATATAAAGTCCTGCGTCACTACGTACGCTGAGACGAACAGAAGACAGTCATACATCGCCTTAGTCTACCAAAATGTCGCTATGGTCATCAGGCCTTGTACACCAAGGAAATGACCTACTCGACGTTGCCAGTCACAATATTTTTTAGCTGTAAGTGGGCTTTGGATCGTCGATGGGCAACAAGACGCAGGCAAGCTGAATGACCTATCTCAACTAGTTCTCGGATATAGGCAGATCGAAAGGTAATAGCCCAGGCCGAGTAGGTGGAATCACGAGGCATTTTCTATGAAAGGGCGTAAGCAGGCAGACTGTGTGCCCGAACGACTAATCTTTATTGACTAATCGGTCGGACAATTGTGTGTAGCCTGGATTGTGCAAGGCGAAGGAGAGGCTCCTGTCTTACGGGATCTGTGGAAAAGGGTTTTTTAGGGTGGGGTAAATGGGGAACCCATCGAAGAGTAAGAAAAAAAGTTAAAAAAGCGGTTTAGAAGGTAAATAATAAAGTTCGTTTGAGGTGAAAATGTGCCGAAAATTCAAAAAGGAAGCCGTAACCAATAGGAGCAAGATACCCAAGACCCGGGAAGATGGGTTGCACCTTAGCCTAGCTGCTGGCTACCCGGCGCGTCCATGGTTGGCAGATAGTGGGACGACCTTCAGTGAAGGTTAGCTGCGAAATAAGCAGACCCAGGTCTGACGAATAAGCATTCGCGGATCTGCAGCGACATTGCTACCAGGGTGCGGTGGGCTGAAGTCTGCCACGCTGAAAGCCTTATAAAATGCCGCAAAGCCAAATAACGGCATTGTGACATGGCGACCGTAAACCGCCATTAAATAAGTTTGCTTGCCACCGCTGCCTTGTGGTAAGATTTTTAAGCCAAAGCGCTAGAGAAGACAACCTCGAACAGACAATCCGAGCGGCTGTTGGGGACCCGCCCGTATTCGAAATTCCCAAGAAACCTCATGGAACATGTGCGATCACGGTACTGCGACCCATGCTACGGCGTCCGCGGGAACCGACGCGCTCCGCAACCCTAGTCCATTGGTGCGGGCGAATAGTATGCGAACTGGAATACTCAATCGTGGACGGACTCTCGGTATTGGATGCTGGAATGTACGAACGTTCCTGGACCCTAGTACCCAAAGTCTGACCACACGCAGCCTTCATCAGTACAACGTGTATGTCTGCTGTCTGTCTGAGGTACGACTCCCTGTCTCGGGCTCTCGTGAAATAAAGATCCCGCGAGTCGAATCCCACTTCACCCTGTACCACAGCGGTCCCCGTGATTCCTCTGGTTGACACGGTGTGGCGATCGCCCTATCACAACAAGCGGACCTCGCACTACTTGCTTGGGAACCAGTAAATGACCGGATGGCCTACGTGCGACTGAAGGGTCACTTCAGGAACATCTCCATCGTCGCTGTGTACGCACCAACTTCGGCTGCCGAACAGCGCGATAAAGAGGCGTTTTACTCTCAGTTGCAAGCGCTAGTTGAAAGAATGCCTCGCCGCGATCTGCTGATTTTTGCTGGCGATTGGACTGGTCGAACTGGACCTGGTGACCCCGAAACCAGTCATCTTCTTGGCCGCTTTGGGCTTGGTTCTCGATGTGAAAATGGTGAGAGATTACTGAACGTCGCTGATCGAAACCGACTGCTTGGCACCAACACATGCTTCCAGCATCGCAAAAAACATCTGATGACTGGGTATTCAAACGACGGTCGTACGCCCAGTCAGATTGACTACATACTAGTCAGCTCAAGGTTCCGCAGCTGGGTTCACGATAAGCAGATCGATGCGTGGTGCCGAGACTGGTAACGCCCATGGGTCGGACCATGTCATCGTCCGTACACGCCTGAAAGTTCATCTCTCATATGCACCAAAAATGTCACGTCCTAGACGCCTCAATGTCGCAAAAATCCGGCAAGCCAGCACTGCCGAGGCCCTAAGCAGAGAAATCCGCACCTGTTTAACGGCCCGAGCCGACGGGGAAGTCAGTAACCAGTGGTCGTCACTGAAGACATCAGTCTATGGGGCAGCTGAGAAAATCCTTGGATACACCCAGCGACGCCGCAGTGACTGGGTCAGTGGAAGAACTTTGCAGGTGTCTGCTCAGACGGCTAGAGCCAGGTCCCGCAACGATGACTACTTCCGCCAACTTCGAAAGATGACGGCAAAATCGGCCAAAGATGACCAGGAACAATATTGGGCTGAAATAGCGACATCCATGGAACAGGCCTCGAACGTTAATGACACTCGAAAGCTCTATCGTCTGGTCCGCCAAGTAAGCGGTAGGCCCTCTACACTGACTGACTCTGTTCGCGATGTGAACCGCGGCTTTATTGCTGACAACTCGGCCAAAGTCGAGCGCTGGCGTGAGCACTTTGAGCGCCATCTCAACTTTGATACCCAACCTACATCTCCCTTGTTCTCCTCCTCAGCTGAGTTTCTTCCCTCTCCTACCTATGCAGTGCCATGCGATCCCTCCACTCCGAGGAAGAAGTCGCCGATGCCATACGAAAGTTGCACAACAATAAGGCACCCGGAGAGGACGGTATACCCGCTGAAATCTTTAAGACTTGTGTCGACACTTTGGTGCCCTGTCTCCATGAGGTGATTGAACGAGCGTGAAGAGACGAGGTTGTTCCTGATGACTGGGGCTTAGGCATCCTTGCACCTATCCTCAAGAAGGGAGAAAAGACGAGATGCGAGAACTACCGCGGCATAAGTCTCATCGACGTTGCTGCGAAGATCTTCGCTATTGTCCTACTCAGACGATTCCAGGCTGTGCGTGACTCAAGGACGAGGCCCAACCAAGCCGGGTTTCGTGCTGGACGTGGATGCGCAGGTCAGATATTCACGCTGAGGCGCATTCTCGAATTTCGCCATATCTACAACAACCGACGGCCGTCTGCTTTGTCGACTCTGCCGCCACGTTCGATTCCGTTCACCGTGAGTCCCTGTGGCGGATAATGGCGATAGATGCTATACAGGCAAAAATCATCGCCATGAAGAAGGCCTACTATAGCTCCACTACTGCGAGAGTCCTGGTCCGTAACAATTTTTCCCAACCGTTCGGTATTCGGTCTGACGTCCGACAGGGTTGTATCCTGTCACCCATACTGTTCAACTACTCCATTGACTGGATCCTCGGGAGGGCCCTACGCGACAGTGACGGCGTTGAATTTGTACCCGGACATCGACTGACTGATCTCGACTATGCCGATGATATCGCCTTACTTGCTTCAAGTTTTGCTGATCTACAGTCTATGGTGTCACGAGTGAACGAGGTCGCTAAATCAGTCGGTTTGTCCGTAAACGCTGGGAAGACCAAAGTATTTTCAAGCTGCATCCCCGACCAGGAAAGGCACCCCTGGGGATTGATGGCTGTCATCTTGAAGAAGTTGACAGTTTTAAATACATCGGGGCGCGGCTGCTTCCTAATGGACAGAGTAAGGATGACATTGTCTCCCGAATCGATGCTGCCCGCTGGGTTTTTTCAAGCCTTCGGAAATGCCTGTGGAACCGACGTGACCTCTCCATCGCCACTAATATTCGCGTGTACCGTGCATCTGTCCGGTCTGTCCTTCTCTACGGTTGCGAATGCTGGGCTTAGCGCGTGGAGGATGATCGAAAACTGGAGGTATTTGACCACCACTGCTTGAGGATGATCCTTCGAGTGAAGCTAACCGAATTCGTCTCAAATGAGATGGTCCGCGCTCGCTGCGACATCATCGCGAGGTATAACTCAGGCCATCCAAGAAAGACGACTGAGGTGGTTCGGGCATGTGCTACGTCTTCCACCTCAGGAGCTCAGTGTTACTGCCCTCGATCCGGCACCGTTGCCCCATTGAAGGCGTCGAAGAGGGTGTCAGTTCAAAACCTGGCTCGACACTGTCCGTCAAGTCATGGAGGTGGTTATTGGACCTTCAGTATTCGGTCTCCGTCGTTGGCGAAGGGAATGGGTTGAGCTGTCTAGATCTGCTGCCGCGAATCGTCACGCGTGGAGAGGTACGATTTGGGACATCATCGAGGCCGGATAGATCAGGCATGATCGCAGCCGTATCAAGTACAATTACAAGTACCCAAAGCCAAGGCTATTCGGCTGAAGGTGCCCCAGACAATACTGCCACTGATGATGAATCCTGGTGAAATGCCAACGACAGGTAGGGCGGTGGAAAGGGAACCCGAATAGCGGTAAGTATGAATGCAAAATACGGATGACGGAGAGGACAGAATCCGTATTTATAAATTTGTTCAATAATTACCAAAATTTTCCCACTTATAGAACCCTGACAGCAAAGAAGAAACGGAAGGCCGCTCAGCAAGCAAATAATCCATCGGAGATTGAACAGATCCTAGATATTATCCAGTCCCCATATGTAGTGCAATATTTACAAGCTAAACGACTCCTGGCGACGGAAGTCAGATGTCGCTGTCCTAAGCCGATGCCGTTGCAAATATTGCGTCAGCACACAGACGGGTTTGCCTTCAGGTACACGAACATATTAATATAATGTATTGCCTAGGTGTAACAAATGTGGTACCAAAAGGGCACTGTGAACTGGTTCGGTGTTTAAGAATAGTCGCCAGACTTTATCGAAGGTAATGAGAACGGCCGTTGCGTTTTAGAGGGAACAGGTGTGGTGAGGTGCGCAGCTGTGGTCGGCATAGGTGTGACTGCGGCAGTCCAATGGTATGACATCTGGCGGGATGTCTGCAATAAGGTCCTCCTCAACGAAGCCAAACAGCTAGGAGGGCCGAAAGTTGAGATCCAAGTTGATGAAACACTTATCACCCGCCGCAAGTACAACGTCGGACGGTTAAGAAATCGGCACTGGATTTTGGGTAAGAGTCTGCAATTCGATGACCAATAGCAGGCATGTACGATACAAGTAAACGGAAAGCGATATTTGAGCAAGTGAGCGATCGCAGGCGGTTCTCCCTTAATGCCGTTATAAAGAAATGGGGAGCTCCAGGAAGCATAATCGTGACTGACCAGTGGAAGGCATATGGAAGGCTAAGTGAAGAGGGATGCGACACGAAACGGTGAATCATTCAAGGAATTTTTGGACCCCACCTCCAGAAGGAACACGAACGCAATTGAAACCTATTGGAGTAGGCTGAAGATGAAGTTACACGAACGCGGACCTACCAAAGGCCGAAGGGTATGGGCTCATCTCCATGAAACACAGTACCGACTTTGGTTCGAAGTGAAAGCAAGTAATTTGGCAGAGTCATGGGAAAGATTCCTGTCCCATGTGGCTCAAGCCTATCCGGTCTCACAAGAGCACTCGGAAACCGAGATATTTAGCAGCTGACCGGAAAGCCAAGCAGTGAGATGTTAATGATGTTGTACACATAGTTCAATAATAGCAGCCAGTGGAATAACAGGCAGGGAGAACAACCGAACCGCCAGGCAATTAACATTTTGGCCATTGAAAACTGGTACAGCGGAAGCAGTTTGTTTATTCTGTCATATTCCGCACTGACACTTTATTATAATGCAGTCGGTCTTCCATGGGAATGTGGCACTTAGAGAGGGATCTACCTCCAAACCCTGTGAAATGGGGTAACCATGTTATCAGTCATTAACAGGTGATCGCCTTTCTTCTAATGCTTCGCCTTCCCAATACATGTAAAGCATTTATTTATGTTCCCCCTAAATATAAACTTTTAAATAGGCTATTTCTCAAATGCAGCCATTTATGTTTTGCGTTGGTTTATTGCTTTATTTATTTGTTCTCAAGATGATTTCCTTTGCCGCTTTACAGACAGAGAGTACGTATTTGTCGGTGGATCTCATAATGGTTGGAAGGAAATCATCGTCGTCTATCCCGTCGATGAAAATAAATCGCCGTCAGCTATAATTGTCCAGACAAAAGGCGATACTTCATCTGGTAGACATCCACGTTTTTCACTTCAACATTATTTATGTCCTTGGGAAATATGTTGTTCTATGTTCAAATTTATGCAACCGAACGCACGTGATATATGTTGTGTTTCTGTAAGCTATTCGTGATGGCGGAGTTATCTAGTTTAGCATGTTGGAAGCTGTCTATCTTCCAAAATAATACATATATTTGACCACCATTCATTATGTATGCATTCTATTCACCTACCTTAAACTTGGCCCTCTACACTAAGAAATTGATTTTCAATGTTGAGTCAAAAATGTATGAACGTTCGTGTTTAAGGTAGTTGATAAGCCAATTGTAGAAATGTTTAAACGTCAGCCTAAAAGTTGTCCAGTTTCCAGTCAAAATGTTACACCAACTTTTAACTACTATTAGGGATAAACGTAAAAGGTTGTTTTAGAACACCGGTACAGCGTGGCCTACTCCGCTTTTATGTTAATTTCCCTAAGAGAGGTGATTACTGCTCGGGGCGCAGTCTTATATTGCATGAACCGACAACGATTTATTAAGTATCATTTGGAATTAATTATGTTCGAGTGTGCATTGTAGAGCTCAATAAACATGTTTTTGGCGCAGACCCGTCGATCCCAGTAGGCGTTGGCGTGACTGAAAGGATTGAACTGGATACGACAGTTTCGGCACCGGTACTTATTTGTTATGCTGAAAAACTGCAGGTATATAAAATAAGTTAAGATGGGAAGATTATATTGCAGTACTCAGGTTACTTTTGGCTTCCAAAAAACATTTTCTCACGCCTGAACTTCTACTTGATTACTATTTCAGAACACAAAAATTAGTGAAAATGTAGAGTTCATGCTCGGTGATTATCCGCCTACGAATCGATACTTCTACCTGGCCCCATATCGTAAGTTAGGCCCGCAGTCGCCTATGAAATATGCTTTATGCACAAAAGTACAGATGATATTTTCTGTTTTGAATTGCATTAGTTATTTGACTAAATCTTATAGGCCAACATCATTTGACACTGATAAGCACATAAAACAAAAAACGTAAACGACAGTCTAATGACCACTGCAAAAAGTGTAGCTATTTACTTCATATTTAAACTAAATGTTTTAACTGAACACGAAAACAGATATAAAAAAACTAGATACAACTTCCGAGCATCGTGGACTTCAGCCGACAAGAGGATCAATTTTACATTCTTTGTGTTTTAAACTGGTAGTCAAATCAAAAGTTTAAAATTGAGAAAACCAATTAATATTCCCTAATTTGCTATACTTAAGCTAACAGGAAATGTATTGCTTTGGTTGCTATGTTAACACTGCGTACGTGCCCGTTCAACACCCAAATCTTACAAATAATGTTTGTTCCAATAACCAACAGTGCACGAGGACACTAAGGAACTGCCTTTTCTTGTCCTCACCGGACGACTTGGACAGAAAACGATGGATTACAAACTTGTGTTTTCCAGTTCCTATTGTCCGGTAATAAGACTGGTTCCAGGGGATGCTCCAGATTGGTTCCCTACAGCAATTCGTGTCTCCTTCAGCGGAGTGTTCCATCTAAGACGTTGGAAACTCTTAATATGTCTCTTGCCAGCAATCATAACAACATCAATGCCTTGAAAATTCGTCTTTTATATCCCCTGTCTGTGTTTTAATATATTTATGTATACACGTATGGTACATATGCGCTGGAGTTGTTACTTCGCGTTATTAGTGGATGTCTAGCTGCTTGCAAGCTTTCAGGGAAACAGAACATATGCAGCACCATGTATTACTCGCACGGCAAGTAGGGAGGTAGCAAGTGGGTACTTTTACTCACCTACATGATTCATACAATCTTAAATGTAGACGGCAAAAGGGAAACAGTACACCTTTTTATATTTAAATATGAAGAAACGCTGTGTTTGCAAGACTACATATGATTAAAGAAAGCAAGTCTTTCCGCAATATCACCTGTAATATCCAATTGTTTACACTCAAAATATGCTGGCTGTTTTATTATATTGTGTGATTAGATGGATTATCCATGTCTAATTTTGGCCGTATGTGATGGTCTGATTTATGAATCTTTGGCAAGACATTTAGCCTCGCGGGTATTGCGAACTGACTGGCAGAAAGGTTCAGACCGACTCAGCACAGAGTAGCCACACCTAGTACAGGGGCCAACGATTACGTAGTATATATAAGTCCCAATGGTAAAACGATCCCGATTTTAGACGCTGCCTCTTCTTTCACTAGCCGTCTTGTCAACGAAACGATATAAAGTTTGTGTGGCGAGATATTGCGGTGGGTTTCCTCGATTGCGATTCCGGTCGCAACCTCAAAGGAATTGCCCTTTTGCTACACGGTAACTGTTTCGTTTACATTTGAAGGTCAATTTTACCACCAGATCGACGGCGTAGTGATGAAATCACCACTCGTACCTCTACTAGTCGATGCTGTCAGGGGAACATTAGAAAAAAAACCAGCTGTGTCAACATAAAAATGACCCTTATTTTAGAGTTGTGAAAATAAAATATGGCGAGCGAATGTTGCTCGTCATGCCAGTACAGTTATGCGGGACGGGGTACTGTGAGTGAAAAAATCGATAAAAGCTAGGTCCAAAAGAATACGAGAATGCCTCCCCGCATGCCCGGAAAAAGTGAATGTAGGAGAATAGACAGCGCCATTGCGCATTCAATGGATTAAGGGCATCGTGCAGACCCTGCTGAAGCATTTCCAGTGATTTATAAGGTCCCATCGAGTTACCCGAGATACTGGGCCAGCGCCTGGTAGCAATGGCAGAAGCCGCCGTCAACAGGTTAAGAAACTGACCCTATGCGCCCAGAAGAACCACGTTCAGGCTCCGCGATTAACGTGCTTGATTACTCACATGAAAATATCTGCGTCCTTACGCTCTTGCCCAGCCTGTATTTTAAAAAAACTAACTTTTATCGATTTTCACTCACAGTTCTCCGTCCCACATAACTGTACTGGCCTGACGAGAAGTTATCGAAAGTAACGTTCGCTCGCTATCTTTTCTTCTGACCCTATTTTCTATGTTACATATGCTCATGCTATTTTGGCAACAGCGGATAAAAAGCCGGATTTGAACACCCTCCTGTATATAGTGAACCAGGGTCACCCAGCGTTTATCTATACTTTGGAAAACAGAGGACGGCGAGGGCCACCTATTTCTGAACATCCAAAGTAATCAAATGTTGGATGGAAAAATTCATCAAGGTGTAGTTCCTAAGTAAGAAGGCATGGGTAGGAAAATTTTCAAATCTCCACATTTGTGTAAGTTTTACTCAGAGATAAGTCTCGGTCCACTTTCAAAAAACTCTCAAAACAGGGTTATTGTGATTCGCAATGCAGAGGCGAACAATATCCATTCAAAATGGTAATAAATATACCACTGACAGGTCATGCAATATAAGACAACGCCTCGACCAAGTGATCCACCAGATTACTGAAATTAACTTAAGTGCGAAATAGGCCACGCTATATCCGAAACACGAACGTTTATGTATTTCTGACTCATCATTGCGAGTATACTTCTCAGTATAGAGGGATAAGTTTCAGGTAGGTGAATAGAATGCATATATACTTAATGGTAATTATAAATATTATTCTGTACGATAGACAGTTTTCTACATACTGAACTAAGTAATCCGCCATAATAACTAGTGCATAGGACGTGGCTAACGTAAAATTTATCATTAAACGTCGGTAGCATAAATGCAAACAGCTGGCTTATAAATCATGAAGTTGCCGTTAGACCAATATCTGTTAAAGATAAATTTGCAAACAATATGTTTCAAAAGCATGGCAAACATTGAATTATGACATATTGTAAACGGTCGTTACTATAGCTTTCCCTGAATCCATTGCGCTGGCAAACATTTATGCCCTATGCGATAACGAAGATTTATTTATTTAGAAACTAATTTTAGTATTAACCTCATTCTGTTATCGATATTATTAAGTGATGAAGCCGTTACGCAACAAGTCATTTTTCTGTTTTAGCTAGTGAAATATTTCAAATTGCCTGTGGTGAGCAAGTAACGTAGATATGCATAGCAGGTTTATAAAAAAAACATTTTCTAAATTAACACGGTCTGAGAACACCGCATTCCTCCAATTTTAGTAACTCCAAGTTCGCGCATTAATGCCCTCGAAAATCAAACAAGGCAAGTTGAAAATGGGGATTATATGCCAAAAAACACACGGGAAAAGCTGAGGACCCCCGGACGAGCCGAACTCCTTTGCAGCTGCTTCCGGCAGCGACAAAAGATTGGCGAAACACGCGTGTCTGGGTTTTTAGCTAATACCTGTGTTGTTTGTATGGTAAATCACTGCACAATGACATGGTTCTAACCAGGGTGCACTGCATGAATATTGACTATCAGAGAGGAAATCATTCGGAACAATTGACAAATGGCAAAATCTTATATATAGTTTTATAAAATACATAAATGCATCTTTTACCAGAATGGCCTGCATCTCCAACGTAATTTGCACGTCAATGTGTAAATAAAATACGCATCATACATTGTCGGGTGGTCGTTCGGCCATGATCTTTTAATGATAAAGTACATTACAGTAGGTTACAAAAGATTGGCAAATATCAAAACTCGACACATTGACAATGGACGTTATCAGAGGCTTTCTCTGAACGCATGACGTATTAACACCAATACGTTATCAATACAAATATGTGATGAAGCCGTTACGCAACCAGTCCATAGTATGCTTTCGCAAGTTAAATAATCAATTTCGTCTGATGTGATCAACCGACGTATATATGCAAAGCAGGTTTATGGAAAAAAGTTTGCTTAATCAACAAAATCTGAAAACTCCGCATTTGTTTTACTTTTCGACTGCTACTGGTGAGGACCTAGAGCTGAAACATCATTAGTAGTAGCATTGGCCAGATTAAACGACTAAACAATCCCATCACTTGTGCGCGACTTGCTCTCATCGCACGACAAAGATTATTTTTCTGCAAACCTGTCCATTGTGCAGGAAACCTGTCGTTGGTCAGCACAAACTAGCAAACGTAGATATTGTCTCGAATTACCTGTTTTATCTTTGAGGCAGGACTTGCTATGGTTTGAGCCTATAAGTCCTACAAGGCTTTTTGTACCACTTGGATATTCGTCCGGCATTTTACCAAAAAGGTTTTAGCTAAACTGTTCTGCATTCTTTACAATCTCGAAGGTTTCCGACAAAGCCTACCATGCGCACAGTTACCACTAGATTAGGCCCTGGTCAGAGTTGTTTATCTCTTCTCGCGAGTTGCTTTATTTTCGATAACTTTCCGGCATGAGTGAAGCACACAATGATGTTGAGAAAAAAGAACCAGAGTACGATGTCGAGCTTTCGACAACTTATTAACTCAAAACTGTAATGTTCTGCTATTGCACATTATATAGGGTTGAAAAGGTTACTAAATTAAGTACACGAAGTACATGCAAATGCGTCTAATTTCAGAAAGACCAGACTTGCCGGTCAAATTTAAAACCATGTAACATTTAAATAGTTTTTTTGGCCAAACAAATATAAACATCAAAATCGTTTACAGGGGTTAAGCTTATGTGTGCACCAAGATAATCTATTCCAGAGAATATATGAGTAATCATAATCATTCCTCACGCAGTCGTATTTTAATTTGTTAAATTAGCACCTTATTGTGCAATAAAGTTGGGCATTACGAATTATATTAATAATGCAACGGACATTCGCATTATTCAAATTGCGAGTTTTGCATAAACAAACATCGACGGTAAATTTCGCAGTTTAGTATCGAATTTTAATCACGGCTTGAAAGCAAAACGAGCATTCATAACTTGGCCTGCCTTCCGCGTTAAATACTGCTTTACACTGCAATGCAATTAAGCATATATTGTAGATTGCAAAAACGCTAAGGTATTTTCAGCAGATATTCGGTTACCTGGTGTTAATTTATAAAAAACAGCCCTAGCGTATGGAGTGCGCTGTTCAGAAAATATTTATTACATAAATCTAAAGTCAAAACACGCATAAAAGGGTAAGGACGTGACCGATTATAAAACAACAAAGGGGAATGAAGTCAACGTGCATTACATATACATTTATAATCCTGGGGTTTCACAGGCATTGCAAGAGTAAGAAAATGCGGTTTGGCAATTATCCGCCTTTATGTCCTTTGGGTAAGTATTACTGTCCACGTGTTACATAACTGTGTTTACAAGACGAATGTATGCATATCTAAATTTTTTTACTCAAGCAGGAACGATAATTACGCTCGCAATAGTCATGCTTACTTAATAGAATTAAACAACTGTCTCCAGTATGCTACCTCGTAGCTAAAGCCTTCAGGCAGTTCGTGTTTAAACGAACGTATATGTCCTTAACTGTTGTACCAAAGGATGGCCGCTAAGTACTAATCACAAACTGGCACCCTCGTTAAAGGATACCGACATGCCTTCTGAGGTAAAATTAGCCGTAACTGGATTATAAATAAATATACGCAAAACAGTTTACACATCAAGGATTTACAAGGCTAAATTTTTAAATCTAACTTATACAACTGATTGGCTAGCAATGCATTTGCGCATTTTTCGCTTTTTTATTTACAAGTTGGCCGCATAGCAGAATTTACTGTACGCTAAACTAAGATGCAATGTGTGAAACGTTTATGTAATTAAAAATATAGGTCAAATAGGCAATATACTCAGTACATAAAATTGAATGACTCACGAACATTAGTTGTAATAACGAAATAATTTAGTACGAAAATGCTTAGGTAAGTATTTGCTGGAATGCAGGTAATGACTGTAAGGTAGGCCAGTCGAAATAAGCCTGCTAATGACAAAACGGCTATAAAATGTAACTGAATAGCAATATAAGCTATTTACAATTACATGGGAATGGTATGGAATGCTAATTAAGTAACCTAGGCAGTCGCCGGACGTGGTGCTTTACTAAAGTTTTACGATTTGATTTCTTTATCTGATTTGCGTACGTTTCTAAAATAAATTCTACATCACAGTAAATCACAAGCGATGGTTTGAGTTGACAAATTTTGGACATTTCTTACTAATATGTCTCGTGCTATCCTCGACCTACATGATTAAACGTTCCCTCAACACTGGCCCTGTTTCTTTATCCTGAGAAAATTTATTTTGTATGTATGAAGGTGCACGCGTCAGCTACTAATAATAAAGTGTGTTATCATCAGTCAAGGGAAGCAGAACGTTTATTGACTCGACGTCACGGATTCGCACTCCAACCCATCCGCGATCGTCTCGGACGATGGGTTTGAGGGAGAATGCGAGACGTCAAGCGGAAAAGTTTTGCCTTCCAGTAATCGCAGTTGCTGCAATGCAAAGTAAATGCTCTAACGCATTAAATGTTTGCAGAAATTTCGAAATGGGCTAACGGGTTAACCCATGAGATATTATCCTAATTTCTGAAATGCATTTTCGTGTTGGTCGCAAAATTATTCATCGTGCGGCCATTTTTTTAATTTTCCCGGGATGCTGGCTCCGAACGAACAATTTTCCGGTCTCATTTCGAGACAACGCTAAGTAAAAAGTAGCTACTGAATGAGCATGAATGCTTTGCACTGATTTTTGATGTCCTTAAAAGTTTATTTATTTTTCATATTTTATGAAAAACATGCATAACATGTTCATTCTTTCAATCATTGGGTACTGAATTACATCTACTATCATATTTATAATCGAATAAAGTGCATAACCTGGTTGTAAAATGTTTCCTATCGTGGCATTTTTTATTTCTGTGAAATGCGCGTTCATAAAACATCTCTTTGCTGCAGTTATGTTTGAATTCCGGTCTCCTAGGCCAGATTTTACATCATTTCTGCAAAAAAAGTTACAGCCCATTCGGTAATGTTGATCAAAGATCAATTTTCTATTGTTACGGATGAAGCAACAATGTAAGAGTTCTTCTGCACAATGCCAGATAGAAGCGGGCTAAGGTGGGCTGACGGGTGTAGCATCGGCGATGCGATGCCAAAAAAAATTAAATGACGTCGCTTAATTTTGAACAGATCGATAGATATTTCTTCACATGAAATGGGTGAAACCGGATGGTGTTGAATGTGTGACTGCATATTATGTCGGACTGTGCGCATTTACTGCGTCTACGACAGGAAACGTGAGTCACACTCACGATTGCATTACCATTCAACTCTTAGACAGATGAAACGTACGAATAGTGAATTACAAGTTGAATCTGGATATATAAAGCCGTCTGTTTATTAATGCAGTCAAAACAACAAGCACATTTATTTGGCGTTATATAATGTGAAATCTCTCCGTGGGATGTTTGTCAATATAATACATAGGGTCCTTATCTTTGCTACTTCGATATTTCACAAGGTCGCGTAGGTTTCATGTTTCTTAACTCACTCAGTGCTGAATTCTACTGTTGGGCATACCAGGAATTTCAGCATTTAGCTTAATTCTGCTTAGTGTATCTGGCAATTCATTATCATTACTTGTAACCTTGACTCCAACTGATGTTGTTCGAGATGCTTAAAACCGCTGTTCTGTCAGTCGGTTTCCTAAACCGGAAATTGGTAAATGGATTGGTTTCCTATATGCTGCAATTTCCTCATATGAATATGAATATTATTGGCAGGTGTCTTTCATAAAGCGTTCCAAATTGTTAAATAGACTGGTAATATAACCTAAAGACCTGCTGTCACGTCAAGAAATGTCTGTAGGCATTTATCGTATCTGATGCAGTTAAGGAAAAAGTAACTACGTCGAAGATACCGGATCACAGCTCCGAACGCGAATGGCCAAACACAGTGCAGCGGCGAGGAGAAAAGACGTCAGCTCTCAAGTTGCGCCTAATTCTACGAGATCCGGTCACATTCCAATTAGACGAGGCTGAAATTCTCGCAAACGGTGACAACCGCGTGAGACGAAAGCTGCTTGAGTCATGGCATACTGGCCGACAGTCCATTAACAAGTGCAATGAACTTCCCCTGCCATACTCGGTGCTGAGACTTCGCCTAGGCGGAGTAATTAGCCACGAGGAAAGTGCACATGTGAGCAATTTTTCCAGCGCCAGTGACGGTGGATCTGTTGGTCGAGCAATCATCACACAAACATCCAACGCACGTGATGAAATTGCAGCAATTAACGACGCGAATGTCGCTCATCACGCCACGTGCAACGTTCCCTGATGAAGGGAAGGGAACCGTGAAAATTCATAGGTATGTGGTAGCATAGCGACTGCATCCTATAATCACCGCAGCCTCTTGTGCATGAAACAACCGTATCTGCGTTTGTCTCTGATGATAGGTTAGAGCAGGAATCCGAAAGGTCAGACGAATAAAGCTAATGATCCAGCGATCATGTCTCCTTCCTCAAGTAAGAGGGTTCATATTTTGCACAATTCAAACGCCTTTTTTATGAATAACCGTCGTCACAATATATCTTTCGTTATAACTTGGTTGCAAATAATGATTTTCTTGTTGATTTCCTATAGGGGCACTCATTTTATTGATTATTGCGATGCAATGGCGCTTGCAGTCGCGCATTACTGGCTGACCCACTCTTGGCTAAAGCGTTTAAATCGCAGCTTAAATGAGCGCAGTTGCGACAATCCAGATGGGATGTGTACACGTCAACTAGATCGAGCGACTCGTTCGTACACTAATTTATCCGCGCGCTTACACGCTCTCCTGTTGATCTGCGCTTACGTTTCGCAGCTATCACCATGGTCTGGGAGCGGGGCGCCCACCCATTTAGATGACTTAGATGGCCGGTAGACATGCCAAAGCTCAATAAGCTGGCCGTGAAAGTTCAAGGTTTTTACATTTTATAGCCAAATTTCCGCTGTTATGATAAAAAAAGACGTTTCTATTTTCATTATTGCCATTGGGTTGTAATTTAAGAATTGAATCGCGGCGAGTTGTATATCTGGCGTCGCAGGCATCCGATGCACTTATTACGTTTCGCCGGCAGTTGATAGATGACTAGGAATGTTTGGTAGCCGCCGTCAGCCAAGTGAGCTACAACTTCATTTAGCCAGGCAACATGGTGCTCTTGCATCCGCTTGGAAAGGTGCATAGTGGTTCGACTAATATAATCTGTCGGACAGGAGCGAATGAATGCGTATACACGCAGTGAAGATTTCTGAAAAGGCAGTATATTCCTGCCTTCAAGGCGAGATGCGCAGTTTTAGTGGAAAGTAGTCTTATCGGCTAGATCGCAGTTGGTAGACCGGAATGGGAAGCGAACGACTACCTAAACCTAATTCCAACCTTAACCCTAACTCTCATCTCAATCGTTACCGTTAACCCTAAAGCCAACCCTAACCCTAGCCAAAATCGTGAACGTAAACGTAGCCCTTAGAAATAGCCGTAACTGAGAAGCCTAATCGTAATACTGGAACCTAGTCTTACACTCAAACCCTGACCATAACCCGAACACCTAATCCTCAAGGCATAACCCTAACCGGATAATCGGAAACCATTAAACGGTACCCTAATCATATCCTCAAACGTAAGACGGAAGCCAAATGTGTCAGATGTGATTATGGAGCCCCACAAAATAACCCCAGTAATCAACCCCCCCAGCCACCTGTAATGCAGATCCGGGCTACTTACTGGGATCTAGCTGTGTTATCTGAGCGGCTGCGTACGTGCGAGGGATACTGGCGTTTAAGCAGTGATGCAGAAGCTCGTATGACGATCCCCTAGAGACGCGGGTGAGAAATAACTCGCTGTTCTCAGCCTTCGCATGTATTGTCTACAAAGGCGTCCCTACATGTTTTTAAGTAAACATTTCAGGAATGCCGGTTTCTCGCGGGCTTTTATATTCGCGAGTACATTATCAAGCCCATTCCGTGTGCATATTCTTCTAGCACGATTGTTATGACAGTGAACCGAGCCTTATTTCTGAAAACGAGTTACACAAATGTGGAAATTTGCACATAATTGTACCCATGCATTCTAACTTACGAACTACACCTTTACGAAGTATTCCATCCGGCATTATATTACTTAAGACGTCCAAACAGAGGAGACCCTCTTCGTTCTCTGTTTGGTAAAGTATAGATCAACGCTGATTGACCCTGGTTCACTATGTTCAGGGGGTGTTAAAATCGGGCTTCTTATCCGCTGTGGCCAAAACAGCATCGGCGTATTTAACATAGAAATAAAGGTCATTTTGTGTGTGTACAGAGCTGATTTTTCTCTAGTTTTTCCTTGGCAGCTTCGGCCAGTATTAGGCTGGAGTGGTAATTCCATCTCTACGCCGTCGATCTGACCTTCGAATGCAAAACGAAACATTCACCCTGCAGCGAAACGGCAATTCTTCGAGATTGCGGCAGAAATTATAATCGGGAAGACCTAACGTAAAATCTCGCCACACAAACTTTCTATCATTTCCTTGACAGGATTGCCGATAAAAGAAGACGCAGCCTCTCAGGACGGAGACTTGTATGTGTAACATAATCATTGAATTCCTTACTTGTCTGTGTGCTAATTGTGGATACTGTGTGTCAAATCGGCCTTCTCTTTTCTGCCAGTCAGTTTGCAATATCCACGAGGCTTAACGCACTGTGAAAATGCATAAAGGTGAGTAAGAAAACCCAGTTGCTACTTCTTTACTTGCAGCCCTGGAAAAATATGATGTTGCATACGGTGTGCTTCCCTGAAAGCTTGCAAAATAGCTAGACATTCATTGCTAATGTTTAGTAAAAAAAGCGGCGCATATGTACCGATAGCGTATACTTAAATATATCAAAGCACAAACAGAAAATATACCAAAAGGCATTTTCAAGGAATCGCCGTCGTTATGATAGCTGACAATAGGCAGAGTAGGAGTTTCCAAGACCTTAGCGGGTGTATTCCGCTGAAAGCAACACGAATTATTTCGGCCGAATATGGAGAAGTCTTTGGAACCAGTCTTATCCCCTTACAGTACGAATTGGAATACGTAAATGTGTACTCCATCGTTGTATTTCCAAGTCGTCCGGTGAGGACAATAAAAGTCATTTCCCCATAGATCTTGTTAACTGTTGGTTGTTGAAACAAACATTATTTGTTAGATTTGATTTTAAACTGACACTTACGCACTGTTAGCATCGCAAGCAAAGAAATAACAAAGTAACGAAAATTAATTTGTTTTTATCTTTTTTAAAATTTCGATTTGGCTATCAGTTTAAAACCCAAAAAAATGTACAAATCGATGTTTTTGTTAACTGTTGTGCACGATGCACTGAAGATTTTTATTATCTGCTATCGATTTAACCCAAATAATTTACATACAATATGAAAGTAATACCTACAAGTTTGTCAATCTTCATTAGACAGTCGCCTACATTTTTGTTTTATGTGTTAATCAGTTATAAATGATGTTTTCCTAAAAAATTGATTATACAATTAATACAATTCGACACAGAACCTATCAACTGCTGTCTAGTGCACAAATCATGCAAAATAGGCCATACGGTCCCAACTTACGATAAGGGGCCAGGTAACTGTAACCCTTCTCAGGCATAATACCATTGAGTACATACTGTATATTTCCATTAAGCCTTGTTTCCTGAAATAATAATAAAGCAGATGGCGATTTGACGTAAGAAAATGTTTTGTGTAAGCGAAATGTAACCTGAGGACAACAATATAATGTTCTTATGATAACTTATGTTACATACCTGAACTCTGTCAGCATACCAAATATAAACTTCCCCATCCACTTCAATCCTTCCCGTCAAGTCAACGCCCCCTGGGATCGACGGGTCTGTGACAAATACATGTTTATTGGGGTTCACAAAGCACAGTCAAACAATAAGAATTCCAAGTGATAATTAATGTATCATTGACAGCTCATGCGCCTTAAGCAAATGAGCCCGCATCTTACTGAAATTAATATAAAAGAGGCGTAGGCCACGCTAAACTGATTGCTCTAAAACAACCTTCCACGTTAATCGATTAAAATCGTTTATAGTTGGTGTAACATTTGGACTGCAAACTAGAGGCCTTTATAGGCTGATGTTTGATCATTTATAAAATTGGCTTGTGATCTGAAACATTAACTTTCATGCATTTCGGATTTAACATTGAAAGTCAAATTCTCAGTATATAGGGCTTAGTCTAAGGTAGGTGAATAGAACGTATGCATAATAAATGTTAGTCATAATTGTAATTATATAAGCTTGGCAGTTTTCTACGTGCTTAATTAAATTACTCTGCCATGACCACTAGAGCACAGGACGTGCCTACTTCAAAATCTATCAATAACGTTCGGTTGCACTGATGTGAATTTTAAAAAAATGTTTCCCATTGACGTAAGTAGTGCTTAAGTAAAAAACGTGGAAGTCTACCAGCTGAAGTTTCGTCTTTTATCTGGACAATTATTGCTGACGGCGATTTAGTTTTATCGACGGGATAGGCGGTAATGATTCATTTTCCACCATTAGGAGATTCACCGACGAGTGCCCACTCTCTGTCTAAAAATAATCAAAGGAAATCATCATAAGAACCCAATAAAGAAAATAATAAACAAACGCAAAACATAAAAGAAATGGCCTCTTTAAAAGCTTACATTTAGGGGGAGATAACTAAATGTTTTATATGCCTGAAGAAGGCGGTACATTAGAAGAAAGGGGCTAACCTGTTAATGGCTGATAACAGGGTTCCCCTACTTCGCAGGGTTTGGAGATAGATCCCTCTCGAATTGGCACGTTCCCACGGAAGACCGACTGCATTACAATAAAGTGTCTCATTACGTAGTAAGGTTATTATCAGCGTACAAATTCGAATGAATGCGGGGCTTACTTGCGGTTTCAGCATGCCAAGGAAAGGCAAAGTAAAGGCTGCGTTCGGCGCCAAATGCAAAACGGACACATTAGGGCCTGCAATGAAAAAATGTAGTTCAGATTAAACAGCTATCCTATTCGTTTATTTTTGACCTTAATAAGTGTTCAGAAAAAACAGCGGGGTAGGCGACGATGGTTCCCATTTCACCATTTCGATACACAGTGAAAATTGCATGATCTCTGTCTCTTAAGCACCAAAGGCAATCAACCCGGCAACCAACCAAATTAAGAAATAAAGAAAAGCAAGCCATAAACAGCAAATTGAAAGCAATAACCTTTTGTTATGTTTCCATTTAGGGAAACATGAAAAATGCTCCAAATGTCTTAAGAGGTCGGATCATCAGAAGTAATGTG